AACGAAACAGCCAATCAAATCACAGCAAACGGTTGTTATTGAAAAAGGATTAAAGAGACACAGCCAATCGAAAGCCTCGAACAGAAATATTTAAGCCCGATCCCACTGAGCACTGGCGCTTTCCCGAAGTCGCACTGATGAAGTTGCCTGGAGTGGTTACGAAACGTCTGCGAACAACACTTCCAGCTCGGAGAGCTCACTAAAACCAACATCCGCATCCCGAGCTACAATCATTCCACATCAGTTCCAATAGGTTGTCCGTGTTCGAACACTGCTGTCTACGTCACATTGCACGAGTGTTGGGGAAACCGGGTGAGCAATGCTGAGGTTAGGCGTAGAGTTTTAGGTAATCGCGGTCGTCCACTGGAACAGGTAGTCGACCTTCATAGATTACGCTAGTTGGGACAGGTGCTGCGCATGTCACCAGATAGGTTACCACGGCGTGCGATGTTTACCGAGGCAGGTAGCGGTTGGAAAAAGGTCAAAGGCGGTTAAACTAAGACCCGATATGAGGATATGAAAACTATAACCAGGACACTAGGTCACATAGGTCCCGTTGGGCTCCCTGGCTGGGGACCCAGAGATCATGGTCACCGGTGGTTAGAGAGATACGGTTGGGTGTCGCAAACACTGGTGCTCAGGCATCTACTCATTATTCTTGTAACTTCAGTCTATGTGAATGTGCTACCTTCCGCTTAGATCTGCTCTCAACATTCTAATCATCATTCTGCTATTTTATCTAAATGGACAACCAAAACCAGCGCACGATAGTGCATGGTTAATGGTTGTAAGAAGTGAACTGAACTGATTCCGTTGGTGAATATTCTCTACTCCTAAACCTGTCAGGGGAAAGAGTAATAAGAGGAGATAATGTTTCAGTAGCATCATAATTCGACTCATCACGGAGTGTTTCGACGAGCTCATCGTTCACCAACCCAAACCCTCTCCGACAAAAATTCTGATGCTACGGCACTATATTATCAGTTCGGAATATTTCGATCTAGTCAGAATAAGTTGTACTTTTACATGATACAATCGATCGTCACACGAGCGGAGACCATTGATTTGTGGCAAAGGTCACACCGATCTGCACTTTTTAGGCATACTGCAATTCGACAGCCTACGTGTTTATCTGTTCCTCTGAGTTCATGTGATACTTGTGATCTGTTCAACATCTCTAATCGGTAAACTATGGCGTTGTTTAACCCCCATCAAGATTCATGTTTCCCTGTCGAATGAACGCCACATAACGTTAGTTTTGCTTTAAGAACTGAGCTGTATCTATTAGAGCCAATCTCCTTCCAGAACATATACGTTCATTGTACTCAGTAATCCAACACTGCATGCTTCAAAATTATGGGACCACCAAAATTTTTCAATCTAATTTCATACATGAGAATATTACAGTGGCCAATGTTGTTATAATGACTGCTGATACCCAGTCAACCGGAAAATATTCGACAACTGAGTTTGAACAAAAATATTATCCACGAATGTACCCCCACAAGAATCAGTACAAATATAGAGAAAGCGCACTGTTAGTACAAGTTCTTTAAATTCCCAAGGTACAAACTGTCCTCTATGCTCCAAAGTCTCACTAAGTCTATATTCCGATGACCGCAAACCGGGGCGTCAATACTCTCCCACTCCATTTCCAAGTTAGTGCTTATTTCGGTGCTACGCGTCCTGACAGTTCGAACTATTTGAAAGCATACATTCCCTTTCAGGAGGTTCTCAATTGGGCTGAGCTAAGGACCACAGGTAGATTGCTCCAGAAAGTGGATTCCACAAAAGATTAACAATATATTTTGATGTAGGGCGTGTGAACGTATGCAACTTTGTCGTGTTGGAAAGGTGCGATGCCACCCATGTTTATTATGCAGAACATCAACAGGAAACATTCGAGTCTATTTGTGTTAGCCGATGCGTTTCGATTACCGTTCATCAGTGCCATGTGAGTGAAACTAGGTTCGGAAAACGAACACCCATACAATGAATGATTAGCCGTTTAAAATGGCGTCTACGGAACAGAATTTTCCTTTCCGATGTCAATGGTCACATAATTTAGCCGATCCATCTAGATTGAACTTTTCGCAACCGAATGTCACTTATAAAACGAGTATATAAGAAGTGCGATTTTCAATTAACTGTTATGGATGATACCTTGAAAAGACTATCTGTCACATGATCATACATTTAAATAAGGGTTAGTTAGTGTTCGATGCAGAGTTCTTGTGAGAGTAGCTAATGAGAGCTTTATTTTAACTACTTCATTACTGATTATTTTGCTGAATGCGGATCTGGGTCTAAAATCTCAGACCCTGACGGTTTTTGATGCACCTGTAAGACATGGTGGTCATTTGGTAATGATGAATCACCGATTGTTGTATTCCGGAGAGCATGGCAATATGTGGTAACGCGCAACTGTCTAGATAGTCGCTCATCCCATTTAAGCTTCTGGCAAACAATCATCGTGGGCCACGACGAAAACAGTGGAAAAGCAAGAATGACTATCGGTGCTTAGCGGCACTTGATTAAAGTCGTTGAGATGTCAAGTATTTAGCCGATGGAGTCCAAACACAGCCAGTTACAGATGGTCACCTGACTGACTTCAGTGAGTCAACACAAAATACCATTAAGGTAACGTATAGATCACGGAAGCTTTGTGCTTCAGGCATGACCGCAATATTCCAACAATTTTGTAACCTTTTATTACAACATACTGGTCGGTAAAGTTTACGCGTTCACTCACACTAATTTCCACGTATTTTTTTTAATTTGAAATGCATCGAAAATTAGCTTTATATTAATAAACAAAAAGCACACTGTCAATGAAAAAAATCCGATGACCTGCTAACGAGGAAAACAG